GGAGGGAGGACTGTGGCGGAGACCGATGACTTACCAAACAGATCCGGATCTCTGGTCATGGGGAGGGGGGGGCGCGCTATCCAAGACTGACACCGGGAGCGGGGGTCGATTTAAAATACATCTGGCTACTACTACTACTGCATGGGTGAGAAAGGGTGGGGGTTGGCGAATGCTCTGGTGTGATTTGCTCCTTCTTTCCTATCAAACATCTATCCTCCTTTTTTGTGTTTATTACTCTCTTGAAACACCTTAAATCTTCGGCACTTATATGACCGTATTGTGTTGCAAGTGCCGTAAAACTCTTACTAAAACTAAAGTAAGTTAGCTTCAAACAACTCGTACACGGTGGGAAAGAGTTCGAATCCTCAAAGACAGAGCCCCGCTCTTCGGTCTGACGTTGTGTCCTTGGGAAAGGCGTCACACGAATGAACGTCCCACTTGGCTCGGTCCCTTCGGAGACGGACGTTGAACCCGGAGGTCCCCGCCTCTTAAACAACCTAATAGTGTTGATAAGGGCCGTTAAGCCTGTACCGTGTCACCATTTTCCCAGAGCTCACAGCACCGGGATGCCACTCAAGATGCGGGACGCTTCCATCCACAAGCCATGCGACAACAGTGGGAAAGGGCAGGCCGGTGTTTTTTTAGTTAGTGTTTTACGGCACTTGCAACAGAATAAGGTTATATAAGTGCCGAAGATTAGAGGTGTTACAAGAGAGTAACAAACGCGAAAAAGAAAGAGGGGAGATAAAGACGATAGATGTTTGATAGGAAAGAAGGAGCAGACCACACCAGAGCACCCACCAACCACCGATGGAGTTCTGGTATTTTCCCAAAAGGTCAGAATGTCACAACCACCCCCACTCCCCCCCCCCCCGGAAAAAAGCCAAACTAGTTTAATAGTTAGTTTTCGTAAGAGTTTTACAGCACTTGCAACCCAATTAGGTCATATAAGTGCCGAAGATTAGAGGTGTTACAAGAGAGTAACAAACACGAAAAAGAAGGAGGGGAGATAAAGACGATAGATGTCTGGTAGGAAAGAAAAAGCAAAGCACACCATCAGAACGACCGCCAACCACCCACCTAGCCAACTGGAGGAATAAAATCCAAACCGAGTGACCCCAACCAAACACTGTCCACCATCACCGTACTCTGGCTCTTTGGCCACGCATCATAAACGTAAAGCCATTAGGAAGAGAAAACGGAGGG